GTGTGAATAAATATTACTGAGTGTTAATAAGAGTTAATGAGTGTTAAAAAGTATTACTGAGTGGTAAGAGTTGAGGACACCTACCTTCCTCTGGAGCAGAGCTGTCTGCTGAGCTGACTCCATCTGAACTGCCAGACGCTCTGTTGACCTTCTTCTTGGTAGAACTCTTCTTTTCACTACCTTTCCCCTGCTTCACCTTCTTTTTGACTTTGGTGCCACCCACCGTCCACTGAAACGAGACGCACCATTTTCACAATGCTGATCCGTTCCCTTGTGCCGAAGACGTTTCAAAGAGACGCAACAAGTAATCTCACCTCGTCGTCACTGTCAGACGTCTCGGAGTCCGTGGAGGCTGCTGGTTTGTTTACAGACTCTTCCTGCTCGCCAGAATCAACCCTCTTCCTTTTTGCCAAAGACAACAACTCCTGAAGGGGACAACACAGGAACGCAGCTCAGAAAACAAACAGGAAGTCGTAGTGACACAGAGGAAACTGTGGAGACTCGCTCCCTGATGTTCATGCAGGTAAATAACACACTGAGATCCATTCGTCACAACAGGGACAGCAGGAACTGACTCCTACACACTTTTCAGACAAATGTTTGATATTGTTGATCTTTAAAGCATCGTCAAACTCACTGTGAAAATTATGGCAATTTTATTATCTGTGTACATCAAACAGAATAAAAAAACACTATGGACGAGAAACAAAGTTTTATGTTTTTAAATCAGTTTATGGTTATGTGTTATTCATCTTCACTAAATATGATGTTCAATTAGAAGAACAGACTTCTCAGTTTCATCTAAACCTTTTTATCAAATAATTTAAGGGGATCTTTTAGAAAGCAGCTTGAAGTTGGTCGTCTAAAGACACATCAGCACGGAAAGATATGAAACTAACTTCGTCTGAACCACTTGAAAATCGAGACTCGTACGCTAGATGGTCTAAATGTGGACGTCATAAGACTGTGTCCATTTTAAAATACGAATTATGAAGAAAAACATTCTTTACTTTGAACGGTTTATAGAAAATTTGTTTTAATATTTTAAACCATACAGCAGGGAACACAAGTGTATTTCCAAACTGCAGACTTATCCAGACTTGGAAAAGACTAAAACCAAATTCCATGTTTTCATATTTTAAAAGGTGTAAGAAGAGCTGAAACATGCAGTGGAAAAAAAAACTTTTAAAATAAGCCCAGAGGTGAAATGACAAGTTTCTTTGTCTCGGTCATAAATAAATGTCTCAGCTGACAGGTCTGGACTCACAGCTGCGCTCTTAATTTATATAAAACAACAAGGCTTGATAAAACTCCAACTGGAGACCTAGCATCTATTGTTAATTAATGACATTTATATTCAAAGCCAAACAAGGTGTCATTACTGAAAACACATTTTAGATTCAAGCCACATAAAAATCAACTGAGAGGTTCAAATATGAAAGTGGTGCACACTGACACATGTACCAATGACACAAAACCTACTGCAACACAGAATTAACTTTAAAAAGGCAGAAAGGTCTTAATAAAGATGGTTTCTTTACAAAACTACATGAAGATGACCACTTCATGACAAGTTGTCACCTCTTGAAATAAATGTTGCCTCTGGTTTCTGCAGTTTAAATCAAAGTTTTACATTTTAAATTAGATTTTGAACAGTTTTAATCTTTTTGGACAGCCATCAGTCACTGTCTCTATATTGGCATCATTTCAATCTGTTGCATTTTTAAAATATTGTTTTTTATAAATTATTTAAAGTTACTGTATTTTTCATCAAATTGATCTCCCAGGTAAACATAAAGCAGATAAGCATACCCGGTACTCCGTACACTTTGTTAGGCTGAACAGACTTCTATCAGGCTGTGATCACTTGTTCATTAAATTTATACAATTCAGAGATTTAAGATTTGTTTATGGTGTTTACAGAACATTTCTCCAAACTCTCCTAAATCTGTATAACCTCTGCCTCTGTCAGGAACACAGCTGTCATGTCATTTTACAGCATTCTGTCCTGTGTGTACAGCTCTTGTTTACCCTGACAGCTCTTGTTTACCAACAACACCAAAATAGTTCATCGGCTCTAAGCCATGATGACGTCATCCAGAAGCTGCAGGTCAAGCTCAAACTAAACGCGCCTAAAACTGTTTCAGTGTGAATAAAGAAGGTCCGTGCTCATTTGTCCATAACTAGCAAACCCCCAGCAGTAAACAATCAGAACCGAGCAGCTTCGGACTGAAACCACCCGGAGGCCCGCGCCCAGTGCTGTAGGATTGGTACTTCAACACATCTCGTAGTGAAACCTTGAACAAGCAATTGGACCTTTAGACACAAACAACCCTAACATGCTGATTTGTTACAAGCCGCACAGAAGACTTAGGGAAACACGCAACTTGTTAGGAATAAAGTGTTTACTGTAAGAGGATAAATAAACACAGAGCAGCTGAAGACTGCTGCGAGGCCAAACACTGACTGAGCAGTCAGTTAGCACGTTAGCTTGGCCTCAAAACTGCTGACAAGTTAACGCGCCAACAGTCAGGGACTACATTTGAAAATTGCGGACCTACCTCATCTAAATTATCATCACTGGCACTATCTTCGGAGTCTGAGTCGATAACGACCCGACCTTTCCGCTTCTTAACGTTCACCATGATTAGCACACCAGCTAAGCTGCTAGCTAACTCTGTGTCGTTTATGTTCAGGTTTGTTGCCGTTGCTACTTAGCTCGTTGGCTCGCGACAAAGGCAAGACTGAGCATGCGCCTACGCTGGGGGTGGTGGTGTCACAAAATAACTATTTTTTTTAAAATATAACCTAAAAAAATGTATGTTATTCTTTTTCACATTGCGCTCCTTTCTCATTAATGGAGCTCAAATAAAATAAGAGAAATGCCAAAGAAAGGAAAGAACAAAAAGACATTTAAAGCCAAGGTAGGAACTACATGTTCATAGTGAGTGTGTCGACCAGGACAAGTATTTGTGGTGCACAAAAGCTGCAGTTGCCGTAAATTACTCTTTTACAGATTTTTTACTATCGGCTATAGTTATATTAGAGTAGTTATAGTAGTTTGTAATAAATTACGTTGTTATTTAATGTTTGTATCCTTTGTAGGTGAATGTTTTATTAACCTAGCTCCGTTTCCGGCGTGGACAGGACAACCTTGAGCAGATAAAGCCGTCTTTTATTCACAACAGTGCTGTGATATTTTTCGCTGGAAAACTGAACAACCTCTGATATTCCAACAACAGGTATCCTTATTAATGCCACGGGTTTACTTTCACCTTGTATGTTTTTAAACTTACGAAAAGCCTAAAGTTTTTAATGCTTTATTTTTCAACGTGTTACATGTACGTTATTGTTGCCACATAAAAGTGCTAGGAATGAATTTAGTGATTTACGTATTAAGGGAATCTATAAGTATCATCAAATCAATCCCCTTTAAAGAAAAACTTATGAACAGACACGTTTAAATGTCCATTTATTTATCCACAAGTTATAAAGCATAATTTGATTTATTTAACAGTCAAATCGTACAAAGTTAAAACAAACAGTATAAAACGTACCAACAGTTTGAAATAGTAAAGAAATGTTGGGGCTCCTGTGTGATTCATTTAGGTCAGAAATGGCCCTCCTGAAAACTTCACGTCTTCCTCCACTGAAGCTGCTGAGCTCCATCTATGCCCCACACCTGCTCCTTCGCTCCATCACTCCTGGACCTCTGCTCAGAACAGGTTTGAACCAGAGTACATACCACAGGCCCGGCCAACCCAAAGAGAAGAAGTTTCCATGGGAGAATATAGAATTTAACCTCTCAAAGGGTGTGAAGAGGTTAAAGCGTCAGTTCAGACTGTTGTTCAAATTGCTTTCTGACCCCTGGATTGGTCCAGAGGGCAAACCGCTCGTTGACCACATGCTGGAGCAGAACAGGGTTTTGTGGGAGTTTAGAGGACCTGAGAGTCTGCAGGAGTGGATCTTTTCTTCTGATGAAGTGATTGGAGGACAGAGCAGAGTTTACCTGAAGCTGGGAAAGAACAATACGTGTTTTCTGTACGGGACTCTTTGTTCAGTTCCTCCAAATGACGGAGAGACGGACTACAGTGGATACTGCACCCTGCGCTCCAGACAACGTCTGGTAGGTGCTCAGTGTAGGAAGAACACTCTTCCTCAGTTAGACCAGGGATTTCCACAAGGCAAACGATGAAACATTAAATGAAGCCCCCAAAATGGTGTCTAGAAATCAAACTAAATTTTACAAGCTAGCTAAAGAAACATTTTCAACGTAATTGCTACAAAAATATACCCAGTAACCCAAATGATGCTCATACTGTCGTTATGCTCTTGTTTAGTGAGTTTATTAGCAGTTTGCACATTTAAAGCAGTAATGTTCTGGACCAGAACCCTCTGAAATGGATCTTTTCTAGGGTTGGCTTGACAGGAAAAAGCACTTCGATTTGTCCAGTTTCAACACTCTGCATTTGCGGATTCGTGGTGACGGCCACCAGTGGATGATCATCATCAATTCAGAAACGTACTTCAGTCATCACAAGGACGACCTGTACGTCTACTTCCTGTACACCAGAGGAGGACCCTACTGGCAGGATGTGAAGGTGAACGCCCTCTAAACTCGACATGTTGAGTTTTCAGCACCTTACAAGCACCTTCTCATTTACAGATCCCTTTCTCCAAGTTCTTCCTGACTCATAAGGGGAGAATACAAGATCGTCAGCATCCACTCGCTCTGGACAAGGTCAGTGAAAAAGCATAAAAACAAACAATTCACTAAAAAAACAACTAAAATTATGTGTAATCTTCATCATTCAGACGATTCATGATTAGTTTGTTTTTACAGATTAATACCATTGGCTTCACTCTGGCAGACAAGGCAGACGGTCCATTCCAGCTGGAGATCGACTTCATTGGTGTTAGCAAAGATTACGCTCACACCGAGGACTTCGCCTACGAAACGTACCAGAGGAACCCAGAAGTTTAGGGACGGCCACAGCGCAGCAGACAAACCAAGAGACGTGGACAACAGAAACTTTCTTACATGGAAATGTTCAAACAGAGGTTCTAAAATTCAGTTTCCTGAAGAGACGCGTCAACAAGTGAGAATTTATCCACAAGACGACTCGTCCTGTGACGTCCTTTAAGAAGAAAAGACTTTCCATGTTAAGTATTTTAGGATTTTATTGTAAAAAAAAAAAAAAAAAACCAATAAAAATAAACTGGGGAAACTACACAAACATTAACAAATCACAAGATAACATTTTTGAAGTCAAAGTTTCAACCTTATAAAGAATTTAAGTTAAAAAAAAAAAAACAAATGAAAATATGAAAGGCTACAAAAATGCATTGAGAAGATCAAAAAGGGTTTAAACCCACGAGATCAGCGGAGCAGGTTGGACAGGAGGAACGTCTGCAGCGTGAAATATTTACAGTAAGAAGCTGCAGCGGGCTACTTCATGACGAGGCCCCTCCTCGCTCCAAGCAAACTCTCCTTCTTCTGCCGTCGCTCCTCTGTTCGTTTGGTCCTCCGGTCCTCCCTGTAAGACGACAGAACATCTGGAGGACTGGAGGAGGAGATTCAGAACAAACTAAGATCCGCTCAGACCCACCTCGTCTGGACTTTGTGCTGTTTGTACGTCTGCTGACGGGGGTTGGAGACCAGAGATTTGTTTGCTGACATGTTTTCTTTGACTTCTCCAAAAGGCTTCAGTTTTCCTGTAAAATGAAAATAAATTATTGACGTCTTACATTTTACAGAGCGTTGCCAAAGAATTCACATTTTCCTTTCATTACCTCACAACCTGAAATTTAATTATTTTATTTTTCATTTGATTAAAAGCAAAAACGTTACAAAATCACTGAAGATGAACGAAATGATGAAGGTAAAAATAATTCAGACAGGTGGCACGATAGTGCAGCTGTTGCCTCACAGCAAGTGTCACAGGTTCAAACCCCGTTGCAGTCCGTGTGGAGTTTACATGTTCGACCCCCAGATTAAAAACCTCCATCTTGGGTTCATTTATAACGAGTCTACCCCCTCAGCTGATGGGCTCAGAACATTTCCACCTGTTCTAACAGAACCCAGAATCAACACCAAGCAGGAGACATCTTGAAAACCAAGGAACTCTCCACACAGGGCAGAGGTGTGGAGAAGATCAGAGTTGGGTTATAAAAATGTCCCAGAACCCTGAACACCTCACAGAGTTCCATGGAACCCGTTTTTAGGAAGTGAAGGATGATGTCACCACAGGAAACCTGCCAAGAGACCAAAACCCACAGATCTGGTCAGGAGGACAAAGATAACCCTGACAGAGAAGGAGGATCTGCCCGGAGGACCACTAGAAGATGCACAGAGATGGACTTTATGGAAGAGTGGGCAGGAAGAAGACATCAAACCTGTGGAAGAAGGTGCTGTTGAAGGAAAGATGGAGGGAGCAAAATACAGAGAAATATTTGAGAGGAACCCCAGAGCTCCACCTTCCAGCAGGTCAATGAGCCTGAAGGACTCTGCATCCATTTGAAGCCGTGAAATCAGCTCTCAGTGACAGAGCTGACAAAAATCACATCATTTTGTTCTCAGAAGCTCCGCCCCTTCTCGACACAAGGCCCGGGCTGAACTTTTCCTCGCACGCTCCAAGGACTGTGATTGGTCAGAAGTTTGCGGGCGTGTCCATCAATGCAGAAATGGGCTCGGACGTTCAGCTGCACGACTCTTCAAATGCTAAATGAGTCAAAAGGTCACAAACTCCTGGATGGAGATCGTGCACGCATCGTGCACGGAGGAGTCTGTGGCGCTGCGTCTCGTGGAAGGCGTGGCCAAAATCAACGTCCTGCAACCACGTGACCGCCTGTCCACTGTTCAGCTTCAGGTGGAGCACGCTGGACCCTTAAACACTCGGATGAAGAACTCCTCTGGTTTAAGGAGAACCAGGTAAAGGTCCTGGACCTGGACCGGTCCAGTCCAAGTCCAAACAGACACAAACAGCCCCGTCCAACCTGAAGGAGCTGGAGACGTTTGGACGTGAAGTCCAGGAGTTAGATGGACCTGAATACATACTGTATGTACACACCACTTTTTAAATATGTTTCTCCAATAGCTCAAAGTATTTCTGTAAAATTATTGCTTCAAATAATAATAATAATTTAAAACAATCAAATTGCAGGTTGTAAGGAAACAAAATGAAAACGCCCAGAACTTCCTGTGATGGAAGCTTGAGAGCAGGTACCTTTATGAGGCTTGTAGGTGAGTGGGCGGGATAGACTGGACTTCAGGTCAAAGGTCATCTTTTTTTGTGTTCCAGGAGTTGCAGAAGCGCTCGTGTTCCCGGTGAAAATGAACGGTCCTTTAAAAAAAAAAAAGAAAACCGATTAATGAGCACGCGTGGGTTTGAAATCCTCCCGGCAGTGACGAGGACACGCACCTGAAGGTTTCTGGGCAGAGAAGTTGGAAGTTCTCACACTGAGGCCCTTCCCTGGTTCTGCAGCCCGTCCCTGAGGGGTGCAGGAACCCAGGTAGGGCGACATGCGTGCTGGGGTCTTAACCAAGGAGCCCTTAAACTCGTTGTCACATGTAGCTGCTGAGAACCTACAGAACCGAGACAAAACATTTTAGTTCTGGAACAAACAGAAACATTTTTTGTACAGTGTCTGATAAATAATTTAATCAAGTTCAAGTTGTTTATTTTTCTGGTAATTCTTGTAAAAATAACAAAACCGACCGAACATTGATCCTGCGAGTGAGATGGACAGACAGCCCGAAGGGAGCGTCTTTCTTCCCAGCAGGTTTGTTTGGAAGAGTTTGTCGGTTCTTTCCTTCAGCCGGTTGTTTGTTCGGTGGATCTGGGCTGAACATGGACGCTCGAGGTGGATTCATCTTCTGTAGGAAACAGATGATGTCAACAAACGTGTCAGAATAAAAAACACCTGAAGTTCTCCTCGCTTTGAATTCAGAACCAACACGTCAGTAAAACTTTTGACATGCAAAAACAGGAACCAGCTCTCGGGGATTGTCAGGATGTGCAGCGGAACTGCTGGCATAGCCCAACAGAACCTCACTGAGCTACACAAGGCGAGGTCAGTGAACAAAGCCAGGCTGATTCTGGCAGATCCTGATCATCACTCCATGGTGAGTTCAGGTTGCTTCCATCTGGACGCAGGTATCTGCTGCCCAGACGTAGAACAGACTGAATAACTCGTCCTTGTGGTGATCAGGCTTCTCAACAGTTATGATTTCTGTTATTTTAAGGTCTTGTATGGATTTTTTGTCCACTGACTGGAACAAACTGACCCTTGGGCAGGCCTGTCACGGTAAAAAAATTTTGCTGGGCGATTAATTAATTATTGCGATAAACGATAATATTGTTTGAAATTTGACAATAATTAGTAATTATTGTCAAATTTAAGAAGAAATGTTGGTTAATTTTGTGTGTATCCCCTTTTTTTGACCACCGGATGGCAGTATAAGATAGTTTGAACTGAAGGATGGATAGTGAGGGAGCAAGCGGTCTCTTTAAGAAAAATGGGAGGGAGGCCCCTTGACGTGACATGGGCTGTTTCTCTTCAGTTCTCAAAATGGCGGTCGCTCGGTGTGGTTTGAGCTCTTTAGCATAGCATTTTTCACACAAAGCTTTTAATAATAATAAAAAAAAAAACTAAAAAAAACCCAGTAAATAAGTTTTTAGCTTCTTTTTGCAGAGAAAAACATCTTTTCACACGAAGGTACGGGTTTCAATTGTGAATTTTGAAGCTTTGACAAGACGGAGGTTTTTTTCCCTGAGGTCGGCCTGTTAGCTTAGCTCGTAGCTTAGCTGCTTTTAAGAAAGGGAGGGGTCATTGAAAAGCACCGGAGTTGAGCCTTTTGTCATCCAGTGTCTTCAGTAGAAAGAGAGAGACACGAAGAAACGATAAAACTGATCAATTAAAATGAGGTCGATAATTTTCATTCGTCATGCGATTAATTGATTTATTGCGACAGGCCTACCCTTGGGGACGATAAAGATTCTCGAACTAAAAGCTCAGCAGTCTGTGAAGGATGTCGTGTGTTGGGATGACTCTCAGCTACTACCACACCAGGTTTGAGTTCAACGATCATCATTGATTATAGCAGAGAGTGTGTTAACTAAGGCTGAAGTGACCTTCTTGAACTTGGCTGACTAAAAATTGATGAGCTGTAGATTAATTTAGGGTAGAGAAGAGACTTTCTAAGAGTTAAAGTTAAATCTGTTCATTGGTTCATGACGTATATTTCATAAAACAAGACAAAAACATGATGTTCAGCTGATGAGTACCTTCACTTGTTGGACCGGATGCTTGTTGGCCTCCGCCTGTTTGGACTTCCTCTGAACGTAAGTAGAAATGGACTCCATCTTGTCAAACTGAGCCTCATGGATTTTCTTAAAGTCTAGTTCAAAGATGAAATGAATAAACATTAATCAGAAGAGATAAATCCTGCTTACTACAATCTGTAAAAAAAAAAAAGACTGGATGGAGGGAGGGGAAAAGTCCAAACTCACTGGGAGTGCTGGTCTTGTTCTGCAGGAGCCTCTGGTAACGAGGGATTCTGCCACCTTTCACCACTTTGATCCCCGTTTCTGGACAAGAATGTGGAAAAGTTAGTTTTCCTCAAGACGACATCAGCAATTATCTGTGGGTCAAAACAGCCACTTTATGAAAAATAAATCAACACCAAGAAATCTGATGCTGCTCAGTAATTCAGGTAGATGAATCTAACAAAGTTAAGTCAGGTCCTCTGGATGGAGCTTTTCGTCTTTTATCCAAGACTTCTTAAGTCTCAGGAGCTGCAACAAACTCAGTCTTATAAAAATATCACCTTCTCATAGTGGAACAACCAGTTTGCTGTTCACATGTAAAAGGAGGACCATCAGTCTGTTTAATGATGGACAGGTTCTCTTCACAAAGATGGCCTCCTTTACTCCTCTCTCAAACCATCGTTCCTCTCTATCAAGGATATGAACATCTTCATCCCTGAACGAGTGACCTCTGGCCTGGAGATGAACTGCAGAGTCCTGGCCTGATGGTTTTGCTCTTCTGTGCTGGTCCAGTGTAAGACCGATCACCCTCCTGACGCTGAACAACATACACAATATTACTGTTTGTGCCGGGGGACTCCCGTCATAAGTCTTTGCTCTAATGTATTTTGGGGTTTAAAAGCCACTGGGACGTTATGTTTAGAAAATAAACGTCTCGGTTTCTCTGAAACTCCTGTAACATACGGTAGTGATGTTACCTCTAGCACCGAAGCTTCAGAGCACGCTTCAAACTCGACAGGGTAGTTATGGTGAAGCAGTGGGCCGGAGCTCGCTTCATGTGACGTCACCGATGACGTGTGCACCACTTCACTGCTTCATTCACACCGAGTCAGCTGACTGCTTCGAGCTGACAGGCGGAGTTTCAAACATTTGGCGTGATTCAGTGTATTTAAGATGCTCAAGCCTCGGTTCACATCCCCGTTCTTCACGTATTATACGTTACGAACAGCTCTTGTTTTTTATATTCAGACAGTGGTTCATTTGAGCCGGATCCTGTCAGAACAAGATCCTGGAACTCTATAATTTTGACCGCTCGGATCCGCCAACTCCGCCCCTAAAAGTCCAAAGTCATCGTGCATTTTTATTTTGATTATTTATTAAAAGTACAACGAGCGGATGTTGTGGCCGCGCCACGCTCCTGCCAGCAGAGACACGGACTGCGTGTCCCGCGGGGAGCGTCTTCATCCTCCTCCAGCTGTGCGCCCTGAGACAGTTGTTTTACGCACAGCGTCTCCACACAGCTCTGCAGGACGCGCGCACAACTGCGGTGTCGGAACTCCTGCATACATTACAGTGCACAACATTTCAGACAATAAATAATTTTACAGTAAAAAAAAACAAAAAAAAAAAACGAGTGAAATGGTTGATGTGTATTACATCAAGTATCAAAACAACGGCACTAATTAGTCAAAATAACAGCGATCAAAATGTTGAAAAGACAATTTATCTAAAATAAATGGATGGATGGCAGTGAGACTGGAGCAGAACACACAGGACTGAATTCAGCTGAGAAGAGTTCAGGTCGGCAGAGTGTGTGTGTGTGTGGGGGGGGGGGACACCTGACAGACTGTCAAGACGTGCATTCATACACAGGCTTGTTAATTGTTGCTCTAAAATAGTAATTTCAATTCAACCTTTATTTATACAGGTTTATCCTCATTGAGCCTCGTCATTTACAAGAGAGACATGTTTTAACCAGTTTATTCAAATGTTTCAACCTGTTAAAATACACCAAAATGCAGGAAATGGCATCTCTTTTATTCCAATTTTTCTGGAGGAAGACACACGGACCCTATATTTAAACATATATAAATAAATACTATATTTCACCACTAGATGTCACTGCAATGAACCTTTGAATGAATGAACCCAAGTTCAATACAATTGGCAAAGTGGTTCAATACTGCTTTATTGCTTCATTTGGCCATCACTAACATACGGAATGACCACTGGTCTGGGTTCCTCCTTTTCACCTGATGGCTGACTGGAGTCCTGTTTGGGTTTCTTCTCTGCTTTCAAGAAGGCCCAGTTAGGATATCCACATTGCTCCAAGGACTGTCTTGGTTGACAGGCCACTTTGGGCTACTGGTTGATCCACTATGAGAAGGTGATATTTACAAGACTGAGTTTGTTGCAGCTCCTCAGACTGAAGAAGTCTTTTGGATAAAAGACAAAATGTTTCAACAAGAAGAATCCATCCAGAAGACCTGACTTTAACTTTGTTAGATCAACACCATGACGTTTCTTACGTCCCTGAGTTTTTCCCGAGTAAATCCAGGAGATATTCAATCACACAAAACTCTCAGAACGGAGACAACAATTTTAGAAATTTGCACAAAAAATGACTTATTCTGTAGTTGTTTTGACAGATGATCTGAGAGGGAGGTGAAGGAGGCCTTTAACGAAACAACTTTAAACAGACTCCGAGTTCAGCTTTCTAAAACCTGCAGAGCGACATTAGGCCTGAATCCAGGTCAGTTTCACTCCAACTCACACCTCCATGCACGTGACTCAAACCTATGAGCCAGCACACAAAGAGCCTGATGACTCTTGATCACGAGAGGCGTGTAATTTCAGTCTAATCTGCACGTGAATGCAGGAACATAAGCGAGCCTCGACAGTTTAAAGCGTCTAAAGTCCCGTGTTTTTATTTTCTAGATTCTAGTTCTGGATGACTAAACCAGCACCACGGCCTCATTCATTCCACCTTTACTTATACAGGCTAGCCTCGTGGAGCCACAAGGATTCATTTTTCAACAATTTCTAATGAATCATCATTTTTAACCTGTTCCAGACAGAACATATAAAGTACAGACAACAATAACGGTAACTAATGACAACAACTCAATGAGACTAACCCGTACCTGTTTCACAACGTGCAGGTTCTTCATCTTTAGAGTCAGAAGGCTGCTGGTCACTTCCACTTTGCTGCGGCTCTGGTCCAGTCCTTTCAGAACCCTCGTCTGGAGACAACTTTCTTTTCTTCCTACCCTGTGAACTGCGGGGTCTGCTCTGTCCATTAACCTTGCCTTTGCCCTAAAAGAGAAGGTAGCCTCATGAGTTATACGTTAGTGAATATGTGAACGAGATGCAGTTGTCTTCTTCAATACTTTGGAAGTCATGTTGGCATCACAGGCTGCTGCAGCATCAGTCAGCTTCCTCTTGGAGGCATTTTCTCTCCCCCGACGTTTTGTCACAAACACGTTGATGTCAGAATCCTCCTCTTTACAAACTGCAGCGCTGTCCTCAGACACCTGCTTTTTATCTGCTTCCTGCACTTTACCACCATCCTGCTCCTGAAACAGTAAAACAACAGTATGTATACACACAATACATGCATAATACTGCAGTACAGTACTACTATACTGTTATAGTCATGAGGTCTGTTACCTGCTCTGCCTTCAGCTTGTCCATCTCTTCAAAATGTTGTTTAATGGCTCTCAGCAGCTTATCAGCCTGAAATTTAAAAACAGATCTAAAGTTAGATATTAATCTTTTTTATAAAATGAACCATAACATTTAAAAATCAGTCGGTGGTTCATCTGTTAATCATGCTAAAAACACGGATGTACCATGCCAAAGATGAAACAAGTATTTAAATCAGAAAAACATATATTAATTTATTTAATATTTACTCTAATATTTGTATGTTTTACCAATAAATAATGTAATGATTTAAGTTGGAGACATTTATTTCCTCCTTAAAAAGACTTTAATTACGTAATAATGCTTTAATGTGTTGATGTAAATATTTGACTGCTCCGTGTTTGTTGTTAGCGGTTAGCCTCCGTTAGCGCGGACGCTAATGTTCTTAAAAGAGCTTCCTTACCTTCCCGTTTGCTTTCAGTCCGAGCTCCTTCGCGAAGCTTCGCAGTTCAGCGTATTTCATGCTGTTCAGATCCATGTTGATGTGATGAATGATTCAGCTCGATGAAAACAGCGCCAGGTTAAATTCTTCTCTGTTTGTTCAGTAGTTCGGTCAGCGGCGGCGACCAACGGTTAAAACTCCCTCGGATTCAAAGCACAGCAGCAGGAGATTTTGATTGGCTCCTGGATCTGAAGCTTCTACCTCTCAGCCAATCAGAATAGACTCAACTCCATTTACTGCTCCGGAGACGCAGCGGCTAGATTGGAAGGCGGAATTTGCGTTCCACGTTGATCAAGTGACTGATTATTAAAGCCAGTGCATCTACTAAAAATGATCATTACAAGCTCTACGCGAAACGTTACATGATGTGTAGTATTTTTATATATTTTTAGTTATTAAACTATTACATTTTGATAGGTTCCTAATTGAAGATGACGCCTCCTCCGTTCACCCGTGTCCGCCTGTAAGCACCCGGCTGACTCAAAATGAAATGCACCCATTAAAAACGGACACCCTTAGAATCTAAATATTTTCTATTTTGTTTAACTGAATAGTAAATTGTAATTAGTACATTTGTAATAGAATAACTATCATATTTTGTTGCATGTTCTCCCTTAAAAAAACTTGTGCAGATGACGTGATTTAACCAAAGTTTTTGTAAACTAATTTTCTTCGTGCAGTACCACCCCACACCGCAAATAGTGGTGTGGAGCCGGGATGCGATCAGCGCTCCGCAGTCCGCACTGTAGAGGAAGAAACACTTAAAAAGAAGGAGCGCGGTTCTCAGCCGGCCAACATGGAGTTTGAGGAGAGCTTTGTAATTAAACGTATAGACAAGATGAACATTTCAGCAGCTGCTGAACGGATGCAGATGATGACGGTCCACTGTCTGCAGTGCAACACGGTGATGGCGGACTCCTTAGGTGTCTGTGGGGAGGTGAAATGTATGGACTCCCTGCTGTGTTTAAGTAGGTCTAACATGAACATTAAAAAAAAAAAAAAAAGAAAGATGAAGCTGAAAGAAGCACAAAAAAAATGTATAAAAGTGTTAAAATTAGGTTAAAACAGGTAAAATGTGCTAACCTGTAGTAAAAATAAAAAACTATTCAAGAACCAGAAGTAGCAGGAAAATAAAAAGTAGCTTAGAGGCAGAAGAAGTGAAATGCTAGCTTCTTTTGGCTGTTACCTCTTCAGGGTCCCACAGCGAGTCGTCCATCTCACACTGTCCTCTGTGTTTCTGTCCTCCAACTCAATAATCCAGGTATACAATCCAACATTTTTCAGTCAAGTCATCTGGACAGGTTCTTTTTTTGTCCTCAAACTCCTTCCATGTCCTCTAACTTGTCTTTTTACTGGCAGCTGCATTTCCAACATCTTTCTACCAATATAACTGTCCCTCCTCTGGACATGTCCAAACCCCTGTCCTTCCTCTGGACATGTCCAAACCATCTCAGTCTGGCCTCGAGCACATGACACCACATGGTGTGAAACGTTTGTCTCGGGCTTTTTTACGTCCCCTCTCCTCTAATAGCTCTTTCTCTTGAGTTTTTGTTCCGTGTCTCCTCAGAGGTGACTGCTGATGTGGTTATTGGAGCTGTGGACGAGTCAGGACGAGGACAGGAAATGGCCAACTGGTGAGTCCGCTTTGGGCCGGATCCTCTAAATACACTTGGGGCTCGTTTCACGGAAGTACAGCGGACAAATCCAAGATGAGGGAACACCTAATGCAAAGCCAGACTGAGGAGCAGCTAGGTCCAACTTCTGCCTCTGCTTCCTTGAAAACACCACGAGCTCCATGATGGGACCTGGTGCCGACCTGTGAGACCGACACACCTTCTACTCCAGAGCAGCAGATCATGTTAAACGTTTTAATGTCTCTACAATCACCTCAAACAAAGACTCAGTCAGTTTAATCAACTTTGAGTCATTTCATACATTATCATTATTATTATCATATTTTTTATTACATTTATAAAATTCCATCTGAGCAGTAAACCCGCAGTTTAAAACTCGTAGATGAATTATAGAGCTGAGCTGTGATGTCATCACTATGCGCCTCTGTTCAGCTGCACAGCTCTTAACTCAAAGAAACTCGCACCTTGAAATCAGCTTTTCAGAACCTGAAGACCCAGAAGTGACCTGATCGTCCGTCGTGGACGTGTCTTCTGTCCTGACTGTGTCCACCGGGTCTTGTTTAGTCCCTCTTGTTGTCTCTTAACTTGCAGCATCTACAGCCCTCTGAGATGTCGCTGCTGCCACAGCGCTGTGGGGAGAGTTCTTCACTCGACTCCGTCACGTTGGGCTTCAGTTCGCTCCTTCTTCCTCCTCCACAAAGCAAACATCAGCTGGTAAGCTGAGCACACACACGTGTTGACACTTCCTGTTTACTGTTGTCTACAGGATCTGTAAACAAACAATTCCTGGGCGCTGTCCAACGTGGGAAGGTGTTTTTAGAGCAAAGATCAGGCGGCCATCACAAAAACAGACAAGAATGTGTAGCATGAAGATGCTTCCCTGACTCTGACCTCTGACCTTTAGGTTGTCTACCAGACTCACCATGAACTGTTTTCTTTGAAGTTACATTTGACTTGACTCGTCCTTGGACTCTGAGTCGGCTACAGTCCGACTGTTTACTCTTTTTCCTTTTAAGATTTTAATTAGAAAAAAAAAGCTAAATCATTAATAAAGTTTGTTTTATTTGATTATGACAGATGTGAACATGAATGTTGATCGTTTTCAATTGTGAAATATTATAATCTGTTCTGTTTCTCAGAAAACAATTTTTCTTGAATCACCTGTGTGTCTTCAGAGGGGAGTCATGACGTCTGTGAGATCCTCAAAACACCTGAGAGCTGAGAGTTCACACAAAGTTTCTTTGTGTGACCAGGCAGTTCGTCCTGATGTGTTTGACTGATGTTCGTCTTCGTTTATTACCAAGCAAATAAACATTTGCTCCGTTACAATTTTTTGTTGGAAGCAAAGTAGACGTTTCCAGTAACTACCGAAGGTGACGCGTTGTTTTTCCTCACTGCGAGACACATTTTCGGCTTAAAGAGTGAACCTGCTGAAGGCTGCCCATTTATTTTTCTCACAAATATGGCGCCATTTAAGATGAAGACTTTTTCTGTTACAGAAAGAAATAATCACACAAACACAAATACCCCAATATCCTTTAGCTTGTTGGGCATTAATTTAGCTTCAGCTCTTTCCTCATCGAGCTTGTTTTTCTGCAGTTATCTCCTGGACAGCCCATCGCTGGTGAAAGCATCTGAGCTCTCTTTGGACCTGAAGCCCCTCAAACTCTGCATCAATGAGGTGAGGCTGCTGCTAACGTCAGGCTCCTAAACCCTGCTGTGACAGAAGATCATCGGTTTTACTGATGACGAGGTGAAATATTTCTGTCATGGCGTTATATTTTATATGAACCAACTTGGGGTGAGTTTAATGTTCAGAACATGTTTCAGTCCTTCACAATAAAATCCTTACACTTACACTGAACGTTGACTTCTCAATGTTCTCTTTAAACGTCTGGAGCTTAAGAAAATATCTTGTTGTTCTTCAGTGCAACAGATCTGGAGTCAAAGATTGGCACCAATCGCTGGTTTGATTGCATCAGTATTGTTTTTCTGTGGTGTCGGATCCTTTGACTCCATTAACGCCTCGTAAAGAGAGGGAAGACCTGGAGCACGTTTAAATGTTTTAACTGTTTAATAATAATCTCAAAACTAAAAGACAAAAAATAAACTTTTCTATTTAGAAAGAAGGAACTCTGGTCCAGTCTCCGTCCGTATAACTTCTGATTCACTCAGGATAAGTTGACACATGTGCATCATATCTACAGAGTGCACTTTTCATGACCTGCTTCAAGGTCAAAGTTCAAACAAGGTCTCTGCTCGTCTTGGCTACAGATTTCTGTAAAACAGTTTTGTAGATGGGCGTGTCATCCTGTTTATCTGCTGTTGTAAACCAGAGTAGTCTCAGCTGAGGTGCTGGTCTCAGCAGGGGTCAAATCTGGGTATGTTCAAACATTTGACCTGCAGGTGCCGCCATGTTGGGGTTAAATCAAAGCCGGTTAAAGCGAGGCAGCTTCAGTGATCAGATGTTCAGCTGTGCTCTCCTCTGCAGGCTACGCAGCAGGTGGAAGAGAAGCTGCAGCAGATGAGCCTCATTCAGAGCAGACTGGCTGACAGGACCATCAGCTCTGAGCTCCACCACTAGAAGGTTTCAGCTGTCGATGCTACACACGTCTCGTTTGATCTCCCTCCATCTTTGTGAACACACACATCCTCCACGTCCAGCGGTGGCTGCTACACGTTATCTTTTATTCAAGACCATCGTCTACTTTATCACTTCTCACTTTATGTTTTTCTACAAGTTCTGAGCCTGTAATGAATAAATGACTGAATAAAACATTTGAACGACTCATTTGAAGATGAGTGTGAACGTAAACTCTGGTCCACCCGTTAAAATAACTCGTTAACACAAAGGTCCAGTCAGCCAATCACAGGACAGCAGCTCCGTGGCTTCAGGTAGATGTGGAGAAGACGACTTGTTGAAGGTCAAACTGGGAACTAAGAGGATTTCAGTGACCTTGAATGTAACTTGCTCGTTGGTACCAGACGGGCTGCTCTGATTATTCAGAACCTGCTGATCTGCTGGGATCTTTACACACAACCAGCTCTGGTTTACAGAGAATGGTTCAAAAGAAGAGGGAACCTCCAGCCTTGTTGATGGCAGAGGTCAAAGGTCAGACTGATTGGAGATGTCAGGAGCTGGTTCCAACAAAGGTCTGCAGAACCACCTCTGGATCAGAACATGTCCAGCCCTGAAGCAGGTGGTCTCAAAGACCATGCCAGGTGTCACTTCCTGTCAGCTGACAACAGGAAACTGAGGCTACAGGTCCCACACTCACTAAAACTGGACAAGAAGAGACCGCTATGACGGGTCTGGATTCAGTGGTCTCCACAACCCAATCAGAACCTTAGGGATGTGGAGGAACAGGAGATTCGCATCATGGATGTTCAGCTGACCAATCTGCAACAACTGGATTCTAACAAGTCCAAATGGACCAGAACCTCTGAGGAATGTCTCCAACATCTTGTTGAATCTGTGACATGGAGGATTAAAGCGGTTCTGAAGGTGGAGGGGGTCCAACCTGGTACCATGAAGGTGAACCTAAAGAAGTGACTGATGGTGTGTTCCTCCATCTGTGGCCAAAACCTGAAGGAGGACCTGTAGCTGAAGTCCTCAGCTGATGGAGTCATGTCTGTTCCCTCCCATCGTTCAGATCCTCCCAGTTTCTGTCCAGTCCGTGCTCCTCATTGGTGGGTTCTGCCAGGATTCATGACATCATCAGTCAGTGACCTCCAGTCTCCTTGGTTCACGCCTCCAGATGAGATGCTCAGTTCCAGGACATCTCATTAAATGAGCCTCCATCGTCTCACATGTGTGTACAAGTACATGGATGTACGTAAATGCAGATAGTTCTGCCGTACAAGTACGTGAATGTACGTAAATGCAGATAGTTCTGCCGTACAAGTACGTGGATGTAAGTAAATGCAGATGGTTCTGC